ATATATATATATACACACACACATTAAGCTAATTAAACAATATTGTTAGAAAAAAATTTCAATCGCTCAGTAACGGATGATATTACACATTTATAACATATGATTCTTAAGCACGCTTAGTATGGTTGTCAGTCATCCTTATTAGACGATAATTGAGACTATTATAAGCTCTAACAGCGTCACACGAAAATTCTAATATAACGTGTATCTTATCGCGACGGATGAGAATGACAATTTCAAACGAGCGAGTAAACGGCGCGAGCGAGATAAAGAGAGAAAAGAGGTAAAGAGAGATTTATCTGTAGTTCCAATTCGCGAATGTAATGAGACGTAACACGCCTGGGCGATGTAAGTAACGTGTGCGGGACCACGGTGAGCGAATCAAATTTGCATAATCGTTTTCTATTTAATCCTAATTAGGAGTCGCCTCGCAAATACGCGACAGGGTATTGAGAAACGCGGCGCGACCGCAGATGTACGCTCATCGACGAGCGAACTCGTAAAACCATCATCCGCGAGTGTTGTTGAGCCGTGGGCGGCTTAATTAAATTCCACTTCGAAGTCAATAGCACGGAAAAGTGATAAATCGATGCGCAACCGCGCGATGATCGGCTGCTCATCTCGTCGCCGTTGGCTGCCGAGCAGCAACAGCCCGACAGGTAGGTTCGCCGTAAAAGGCAGAGCGCGCTGTCGCCGCGCTAGGCACTAACGTTGGAAACAACATATTGCAACTTTACAACCGTCTCTAAGTGCGCCAACATTGTCGAGAGTCAAAGGTGATGACAATAAGCGGTCCCTTAGCCGTCAACGAGCGCCTCTCTTCTCTTTCTCTCCCCTTCTTTTTCTCGGCGGCAGAGACTCGCGCCGGCCGTTTCTATTTTATAGCCAACGAGAGTAGGGGGAATCTTGTTAAATAAGATAAATACGATCCGCAAGGTGAAATCGGTGCGGAAAGGTTTCGCCGTCCGACAGGACGATAAATGTGCGTCCATTTGTATGATTTAGTTCACGGGGGGAGGGGGGGGGGATTTGTTGGCTAATAGACGCGTTGTTCGTTTGGAAATGCGGCTGAATGGAAACGTCGAGATGATATCGTTGCGTCAGTACACCGCGTAATACACCGGGTGGCTTTACTCTAAAAGTCCGATTAGAAAACTTAAACATCTATTTGAAACATTCATCCTGGACTTTCACGGGGTGAGATACATTTCACGGCCGATCGAAAAGTTGAAAAAAAAAAGAAAAAAAAAATGACGATCGAGATCTGCAAATTATTCGCTAAAATCGACAATCACGCTAATAAATAAGAGAACCGTCTGTGAAAGGAAGGAAAAAACAGGGGGGAGGGGAAGGAAACATCGAAGATAAATGTAATGCGTCGGCGATCCTGACAAAAGATGCGATATTCGCGAGATTAGATTTGTTGGCCGCTCGCGAGCGAGACTCGGTTCGATCAAAGAGAGAGATCTCAGTCGGCGGTTAAGTAACGCAAACTTACAGTCCGCACAACGGCGTTGCACAACGCGCCGGCCGGTTTCTGATCGCGGCCAGGTATTCCCCTGTCATAGAGCCGCGGTTCATAGAATGTCTAACGAGATAGATCATGAGCAACAATGGCCCGAGACGATCCGAAGGCGGAGATTCGCTCGCTCGCTAAGAGTACCCGCTCTGTTCTCCGCTCGCGTCCACCATTCAGCCGACCGCCGTCGATTGCCTTCTCCCTTATCTCATTCCCATTGGGATTTTTCTTTCGCGTTACGAGGAGTCACAACAACCGCGCGACTCCGCGATATAGCCAACGAGAAAATTAATCGTCCGCGCGGGGAATATATATACGCGGAAACGTAGCGACGCAAATCTGAGGGGTAAAAGTGACGGCTGACAACGTGCCGCATTTATTATAAATCACTTTTTCCTTCCTTCTCTCTCTCTCTCTCTCTCTTTCTCTGTTTATTCTCCGCTTCGTGAAATTCGTCACTTTCGAGTGAGTGACATTGACAAGGTAACTTCTTCTTGAT